TACTTAAAAAAAATTATATTAGCTAAAGTAAATAAAATATGATATGGATATTTATAATATTATTGAATATTGAATTGAGCCTCCTCAAAGATTGTTACTGTAAAATGTTAAGTAGGTGCCCTGTTGGAATACACTTAGGTAAATGTAATTTAAGCTGAGTAGCCCTACAAAATACTTTAGGGGCAATTTTTAGTTTTTAAACCTAAACTTCATTTATGAGTTTGAAGAAACTCGTTTCTTAGTAAGGTGAAAGTGTTTAATGAATTAGTGTATTGTTTGGATTTGGTTAGGTGGCCGAAGGGTTGACGAAGGCTCAGGGAGTGGGTTGAAGCATCCGCCGTGTTCGAGCGAGTTGGGCCAAGCCTCACCAACATGGCTCTTTAGGCCCAACTTATCAAATTGAACCATGTCATCAAGAACAATTGAAAGGGAAATCAACTTTTTTTTAAGGGAATAATTAAAAGGTCTAATATATTAATTTACCATGAACTTTATGAACTTTTGTAATTTCAATAATTAATTTAATGGTCCTTTTATTTTAAATCTATTCCAATTATCACCTCTTTTTATTAAATTTCTTGTAAATAGTTTTAAATAATGTCAATTACTTTTGTTTATTGTATCGAGCTTTTGATAATTAATAATTGCCGAGTTTACAATCATGTCTTCTTCTTGTATTAAGTATCATCGCTTTATATGCTTCTTTTTATTTTGAAACTACGTGATTAATATTAATGGATTTGCTTCATTAAGTTTACCAAAGAAGATAGAAGATATTATTCTTGAGAATGAAACCCTACCAATCTTTATTTTATATTGAATTTATTTTGGTTTTTTCTCTATAAGTCTTGGGTTACTTTCTGATTTCGATGCATATATTTCCATTAGTGAATCCTCAAATACATATAATATTTAATTATTTAAATTCAGAAGTTATACATGATGATTTAGTTAATACTCTGAAGGCATCCTAAAGAGAATGGAGAATGCTAGCAAATAGGTAATAAATATATTTAAAATTTTTATTTAACGAGACAGAATCATTTACTAGTCTCAAATGGAAGGAAATTGATCGTACAAATCAGCACTTCATGCTATAATAATTGTTATATTTGAGAAAATAGTTTGTTTTTAAAATATTTGTTACATTTGTGGTTTTAAGAAGTAAGAAATAATTTTTTTTTTCATATTTACCCTTTATATAATTTAATGGTTTTTTTGGAGAATTAGTATCATGTCACGACCCGATTCCATGGGCCGAACCAGCACTAGGGCCCAGGTAAGCTTAAGGCCCCCGAGCCCCAGGTAAGCTTAAGGCCCCCGAGGCCCGTAATAAGCCTGAAACACTAAAAATTTACTATCAGCCCAGGGTAAGCTTAAGGCCCCCCGAGCCCGTAATAAGCCTGAAACAACTAAAACATTTACTATCTCAATATATAATTTAAACATTCAGCCCATATTTATAAGAAAAATCAAAACCTTAAGATTTTAATTTATAATCTTGGCCCCAATTTATCAGCTACCACATTCCAATAAGTTTTAACAATACATCACATTTTTAATATGGGCTCACATAATTATATCATCTATGTTAATACACGACTAATTGTATGCAAATTCTACAACTGCGGAGTCACAAACTATTTGTTATACATAGCTTTTTATACATAAATTTACATAGTAAAATAATTATGGAACTGGGAAAATTTTTTTCTAGCCCTGCGGCAAGGAACATAACTTAACCGAATTAAAGAGAAACTTACTTCCTGAAAAATTAAACAAGATATGAGAGTTTTCTAAGGAGTAAGAATTATTGCACAACACACACATTCACACAAATGTGTAAATATATCAATCTAGTCATCCGACTAGTTATATGCTCACGCAGTCAGTCACACAAATGGCACAAATGACATATCACCAGCACCCACAATCATTAAGATCTTCATGTAATCACATCACGTGGAAATTAGTCAGTGGCGTCACCTAATCACATCATGTGGAAATTAGTCAGTGGCGCCACCTGAAACCCCAACGAGCCGTCCTCACACATGGCTCGCCCTCTCATACATGTGCACCAGGGAACCGATCCCCCATACAGCCAACTGGTCTAATCCTCACATGACCAGTCCTCTTATTGTTTTTCCATTCTCTCTTTTTTTTTTATACCAACAGGAGGCATCCCGGTCGTCTCCATCAAATCTAGATTATCAGGCGCACACAACAGGAGGCCACCCTGCGGGCTGCGATCAAATCTAGATCATCAGGTGCGCCCAAAGAGGCTACTCTGTGGTTTCCATATAATCCATATCATCAGGTGCACACGGGGGCGCCGATCTTCCATTTACCCGGCCGACGGTCAAATTCCATATCATATCGGTAATCAAGGATCCCATTGATAACGTTAATGGTCTCACAAACCCATGGTGACCCCACTTCAGCCCAATTTCCACACAAACCAAAGGCATAGCATTATCACAACACAATTAATCCAAATAATTTGCAAATCAAATGCAGCATATTAATCAATTAAACATCGTAATACAATGCACAATTAAACATTCAAAATCAATGCAAATAAATAAATAAATAGTATTAACAATAAACAACGATAACAAAATAAATAACAATAATAACAAAAAAAATAATGAAAATAATTCAATGAATAATAAAGATAATAAATAATCAGGGCACTCTATTTATTATGTATTAAGTTATAAAATTAGTCTAATTAAACTTATTAATTATGTCATTAATTAAAACTAGTCTAGGTTCTATTGAAATTTCGACAGCACCTCCCCTAAAATTTGACTAAACGCACCTCCCCTAAGATTTTTGACTGAACCACAAATTCAACAATTATATATCTTAAGCCCATCTGTCGGCAATTCAAAATTCAACTCATCCCATCCGCCATAACCTTATTTATCAATTATTCATCCAATCAATTCACACAGCCCATCCATCGGGGCAATCCAATTTCAACCATCCCATCCCTTCAAACCTACATTGTATCATCCATCAAACTCACATATATACACTTAAATTAGTATGCCAAATTAACTAAATTAACAACCTATATTTAAGCTCCAGCATGATATCAATGATTTATTAATTGCTTTAAAACTTATTTACTGTCTAAGCCTTAAATTATGAACTCTCCCCTACCAATATTTTATTAAAATTCCTAAAATTAAGCTTACATTAAATATTAGCTAGGAATTCTTATTCTTAATACGAACCTTCCTTAGTTGTAAACTAATGTTTCATGAAATATATATAAACAAAATATGCAGAACTAATTGCATCCACATTATACCGATTGATTTCTTAGCAAAAAATTATATTTGATTGATTATTTTCATTCAAATTTATTTTAATCAACTAATAATTATTAAGTTTTTAGAATTTTATACCAAAAAATAGGAAATTGGTCTTAGAACGTACCAATTGAAATTTGAGAGGTGACGATAACGTACCAATTGAAATTTGGGTGACGATTCCACGATCCTCGCGAAGAGAGGAAAATTCTGTCCTTGGTGCCTCGCCGGAGTCTCGCCTGCCGGTCACCAGAACGATGCCGCCGCCGCCGTTTACGGTGGCCGAAAAATCAATAATACCCAGAAATTCGCCACGATCATACCATTCAACTCGAAATTCACCAAGGATTCCATTTTCGGCATTGGTTTAGTGAGATCAATCCTATAGTTGGTCGAAACGAGCTTGACAGCCGCCCCTTACAGCCATTCATGGTGGTTCCAGTTCCTTCCACCAAAACCGTCATTTCTTGGATGGAAATTGTTGGAAATTGTTCACACAAGACAGAGGAATCAATCAGAGCTCACCTTGAAGCTTCACGTTGCCAGAATCGCCTGGTATCGCCGGAGATCGAAGAATGAGAACTGTCGATGGGGACAGTCTCGTTCGCGCCACTGGAGGCTCTGCTAGCGGGGAAGGAGGCCGGAAAATGGATCAAAGACCCCAGGGAAGGCAATTGCCACCTCGCTCTCGTCGAGCGGTGGTCGAAAATGAGAAGGAAAGGGAGGAGAAGGAGGTTGTCGCGCGCGCAGAAGAAGAAGAAGAGAGGAAGAAAAGAAGAAACTAAGTCGGTTTCTAGATCATTCCGGTTCGATTCTAATCGGTTTGGTCTGATTCAACAATTTGGCTCGATGATTCAACAATTTGGCTCGATTTTGCTTGGTTTGCAGGTTTTTCACTTGGTTTTTAGGTTATTCGTGTGGTTTTCGAAAAATCAATTTGAATTTTGGGTCCGGTTCAATTTATTTTGATTAATTTAGTTAGATTCCGTAATATTTCTCCATTTTACTCCATAACAATAAAAACAATAATAATAATGATACTTGATTTTTGGATAATTAATTCATATAATAATCACACTTATATAAATATATTTTATAATGGATTAGTAATTGGAGTTCTATATTATTTCCTAAAAATTTTTAAGTGTTCTCAAATCGAAGATTTCGATAATATATTTTTGGGCCTGGGCCCAGCTGGCAAATTTGGATTCGAATCGAGACTGTATCGAGACTGTATTCTATTCGCAGCCCACATAGTCAAAATTTCTGATTTTTAATTTAATAAAAATTCAAAGGTTTCAAAAATAAAAATTCGGGGTGTTTCATATCAATATTAAATTAGGGATAATATAGTAAATCTACTTAATAATTTATTATAATTTAGATAATTTAATGGTTTTTTAAGAAATGTGAAATTTGTGACAAGTATTATAGAGGAAATGTGGTATTTTTTAAAAATATTTTATATAATTATTATTTACATTTGTGAATGTATATCATTAAAGTAAGTACTAATTAAATAAAAAAAATACTTAATCTATCTGCCTCTTCATCGATGAAATTAAGCAATAAAATGTGCAAGTGAAATAATAATAATAAATTTTTTTTTTGAAAGGAAATAATAATAATATATATACTGACATGCGTAATAAAAATTTAAAAAAAAAAAAAAAAAAAAAAGAGAAGAGCCGCAGTGTCTCGTTTAACCCAACAACCAGTAAATGGAGAGAAAGAGATGGTAAATTTGGGCTTAGTGTGCAATTGAGTTTAAGCGGCTGTATCTCCTCTTCCGGCCACCATTTGAGACAGCGCCGGTACTATTGTAAAACTGGGGAGGGGAGCTTTCATCCGCCACTGATCCGGTTACCAGCAGTCACCGTTAACAGCCGCACTCCCCGGTCAAACTGTCCCTGCTGGAAATTTGACCGAGTTTTCCGACCATCTCCGATCATTTTCCGGCGAACAAAGGTCAGTTTTGAGATTCTAATGGTCTAAGCTTTCATTTGGTACCCCTCTTATCAAATTATGTTCCAAAATGGGTCTCTTCGGTTCAAACCAGTGTGGTTCCTAGAACGGTCTGATCTCGGTAAACCATATGTATTATATGAGGTCTTTTTTTTTTTTTTTTTTTTTTTTTTTTTTTTTTTTTTTTTTTTCTTCTCTTTTGGAAAAAAATTAGGAAATATTATAAAAAAATATTAAACTTTAAAGTAGGTTATTATAACTTATAATGCCTTGAAATTCATGCAAATTCTTGATTTTTGGATTTTCCATCAAAGAAATGCGTTTTGTTTTAAAAATCAGAAGAGCAATTTTTTTTTTTTTTTTTTTTTTTTTTTTTTTTTTTCTCTCTTTTGGAAAAAAATATTAGGATATTATAAAAATATTAGAACTTTAAAGTAGGTTATTATAACTTATAATGCCTTGAATTCATGCAAATTCTGATTTTTGGATTTCCATCAAAGAATGCGTTTAAAATCAGAAGAGGCAAAAATGGCCTTTTAACCCTTTGATTTTCATTTGAAAATGTATATTTTGTAATTGAAGTTTTTAAAAATACCTTTACCTTTGTTGGAATCCTAGGTGCTTACTTGATCTTGGTCAACTTCCTCTGGCAGGGAAACCTCTCTGTTTAGCCATTGAAAACGGTGGCTTCAAGCATAATCTGAGATCGACAGTTGGAAATTGAAATTCACTGGTAATTTCATTTCTTAACTACTACATTCAACTATTTCCATGCTAATTTAGCTTTTATACATTTATTTAACTATAATTTGGTCAATGCTTAATCTCGGTGCGTCTTGATTGCTTCACCTTTAACATAATTTGTTTTTGACCTTCAGCCCATGTTTGGATTCTAAAATTGGGAATTTATTTGCTTCAATGGTTGAGTTCTATTTATTTATTATTTTTTCTGTTTATACTATTCTTATGTTGGGTAGTTCTCATTTATGAAATTTATTTATGGATTACTGCCACATTTTTGGCTGCCATTGCTGTGATTAATTGTTTTAATGGATTTTGAAAATTTGCTATCAGCGATGTGAGCTGGGCACTCGATTTTCCTGAAAAGTGAAAACCCAATCAGTACAATTTTCTTCCTGTAACCATTTCATCTCTCTTTTCTTACGGTCTTGTACTTTGTTGATGCTATTTTGTTGTTATCCTTGTCAACATACTTTGGGTTCTGTCTTTGTCCACACATGATGGCAAATTACTGAGACTGGCCTCTCACCTGCACCTTTCAAGGTGATATTGTTGCTCTTTTTATGTTTTGTCTATCTTTGCAAAATTTCATATTTTCTTCTAGTCTTTTGTTAGAGGGGCGATTGAGTTTGGGTTCCTGCGTATCTTTTTGTTAACAAATTTTCGCTTATTTCTTGATTGCTTGGTTCTCTTAAATTTCATGGTTGCTGGAAAATTTCGCTTGCAAGAGCCTTCACTATTCTGAATCTTGAAGTTCTTTGAACATAACGCATAACTCAATTCTCTTTACCCCCTTTTACTTGATTTTAAAACAAAATTAGGAAATGAAATTTCCTCTGATTGATTTTAATCATGTAGTTTTCTTTGAATAACTTTGGTAGATATTTAGTTTTTGATTTTTGTTTTAGTTGGTAAGGCAGTTCACATTTTTTAAATGATATTTAGGTACTGGGTAAATTCTGCTTATGAAGTATAAGCAGGTGAGTTCAAGAATTCCTACTTAATCTATTACCTGTGACCCTATTGACTTGGGAACTGTATTGATTCTTATTACCTGATTGTGAGTTGCCTGTCGTTATGGGTTGCTATAGGTGTACAGTCTGTAGGTTTTGCAATTGTTCTTGCTCTTGGATAGCCAATAGATGTTGGTATAGTGCTCTTGGATGCCAATAGATGTTGGTTTAGCGCCTGAAAACCTAGCTGTCAGAAGGAGCCCTATTTTATGTTATTTTCTGTTGTTCCCGAGCTAATTGCTATTCTTGGACTGTTGGGATGGGATGGTAGTGTCTAGATAGAAATATACTAGGATTTTCTCATGAAGTCCATTTGCATTCTTTCCCGTACATTATGGCATTGAGAAGGATATAAATGTTCCAATTTTTTGTCTTTGTTGTCAAAATGACTCATTATTTGATCTTTCAGTTTGCACTTGCTCGTAGAATGAAATTTTTTTCTCTTTCAGTTTGGTCCTTTGATGTTATTTATTTCTTTTTTCAGGTTATTGCATAGATGCATGTACGTAAAATTTTTCTATACTGCATATACAAGCTAAATTATATACATAAAAAAAAAAGTATGGGATAAACGTTGAAGTACATTATCTATAATTTTGATGTGTGGTTGACAGACAATAGTAAGAAGGATCAAAAGGTTTTAGCATCTGAAGTTCTATATCTAACACTTGTACTTTGATCAAACTTGTATCAGATGACTTAAAATGAATACTTTTCAGGCAAGGTTATGATTGTTAGTACAGTTGTAGAACAACTTTTGTATGCCAGTGTTTAAGATATTTTTGAAGGCTAATGGGGTGGGAAGTTATACTGATGGGGTTTTTGGCACATGATCACTATTCGATTGATTGAATTCCTGAGTGCAATAACTGTTCCAGAGTGATTAGAAAACCTGATGTATTTTGGACTGTTGATAGTTATTCTTTCTACAAATGCCATGTACCATTTTAGAATGATTTTAGCATTTTTTTTTAATACTATATGATTGTAAGTTGGTTAGGTTATGATAATTAATTGAGGTTTGATAAGAGAATCCCAAAACTTGACCATGTGTTAAATTTGCTTGCATATTTTAAGAAATTTAAGATTCTAGGTGTTCTCTAGATTAAGGTTTCCTTTGGATAGAGGGATAAGATGAGATGGGAAAGAAGAAGGGAATGGGACAAGAGTTACTATTGATGGTCATTCTGTTTGTGCTCTAAATGGGATAAGAGAACTTGCTCTAAATGTGCCATTATGTTTGTCTTCATGAGCAAGAAAGAGAATGAGACTGATGGTCAGTTGATTTGTTCAGGTAATCTCCACAACCTGGTCCTGACATTTAAGCAGCTCATTCCTCCAATGAACTTTTCCACCTGATGATTGTTAATCTTTAGTACTTTTTAATCTCTAGCTATTTGGAAAACAATTGCTCAATATAGTTATAGATCATAATCACATATCTTTTAATAATAATAACATGCTTTGCAAGTAAAATTCAATGTTGTATACCATGTAGATGTTTTTTCTAAGTTCTTTTGTTGCCTCCAGGTTCAATACCATGTTGAAGATCAATGAGTTATGAGTTGCTGCCAATGTTCTTAAATGATGTGTGCTAGTAGGATAGAGAGACAGCTAAGGGAAGTGCTCATTTCAAGAGTCTTAATGAAATAAATACAGTTGCATAGACGTGAAGGCGAAAGCATGAGGGATTTGAAGTTTCCAAAACGTTATTTAATTATAATTTTAACCTTCCTTAGCACTTGTGTTTGCTATATAGAACGGGTGGGTTTCTCAATTGCATATACAGTTGCAGCTGATGCTGCTGGTGTAAACCAATCAAGTAAAGGCACTATACTGTCGACATTCTATTATGGGTATGCCTGCTCCCAAGTGCCTGGAGGATGGGCAGCACAGAAAATAGGAGGAAGAAAGGTTCTCCTCCTCTCATTTGTTTTATGGTCATCAACTTGCTTTTTGGTCCCACTTGATCCCAATAGAGTTGCTGTCTTGGTAGTGGCTCGATTACTTGTTGGTGTGGCACAAGGATTCATCTTCCCCTCCATTCATACTGTTCTGGCACAATGGGTTCCACCACATGAAAGATCCAGATCTGTATCTCTTACAACTTCTGGAATGTACCTAGGTGCAGCAATGGGAATGCTTGTCCTTCCAAGTCTAGTGAAATATGAAGGCCCCCAATCTGTATTTCTTGCGGAGGCAACATTAGGTGTTTTGTGGTCTCTGCTCTGGTTCAAATATGCAAGTGATCCTCCTCGCTCTGAGCATCCAAAAGCTGCAGCTGCAGGGTTTGGAGAATCTTTGCTGCCAATCAAAGGCAATCATAAGACAAAAATAGAAAATGGAGGTAGTAATACCAGAACTGCCAAAATTCCATGGAAGAGAATTTTAGTTAGCTTGCCAGTTTGGGCAATTGTGGCAAACAATTTTACATTCCATTATGCTTTATATGTGCTGATGAACTGGCTGCCAACTTATTTTGAACAGGGCCTCCAGCTCAGTCTTCAACAAATGGGTTCTTCTAAGATGATGCCTTATTTCAATATGTTCATATTCTCAAACATTGGGGGTGTGCTTGCTGATCACTTGATCACGAAAAGGATCTTGTCTGTGACTAGAACCCGGAAGTTCTTAAATACCATAGGATTTCTGGTTGCTTCTCTTGCATTGATGGTGCTTCCTTTCTTCAGAACTTCTACTGGGGCTGTTTTATGTTCTTCTGTGGCTCTTGGCTCTTTGGCACTTGGTAGGGCAGGGTTTGCAGTGAATCACATGGATATTGCTCCTAGGTATGCAGGAATTGTCATGGGCGTTTCTAATACAGCTGGTACTTTGGCTGGCATTATTGGGGTTGATCTTACTGGCCGGCTTCTTGAAGCTGCTAAACTTTCTTATTCAGACATTTCAAGTCCAGAAAGCTGGAGAGCTGTGTTTGTCATACCAGGGTTGTTATGCATTTTAAGTTCTTTCATGTTTTTGCTATTCTCGACTGGCGAAAGAATTTTCGATTAGGTACAATTTTTCACATAAGAAACTATTGCAGAAGATTATCTCCATCTGGCGAGAATCAAATTGAATATCTACTTAGAGTCTTCTGATTCTCGTTTGAACAAACCACTTGTGCATTTGAAGGGTATATATTGAAAGGTTAAGAGCCATGAAGATTTGAAGTGGTCAATATACACTCATTTTTTGATTTGTCAAGGTGAATTACCTGAAGGCCATTTGTCCTTTTCTTCAACATCATACTAGGAGAGTAGGTTCAATTTTTTGGCATATAATGTTCCTGCTGATAATTCTGACTGCAATAACTGAATGCTTCCATAGTCATGGTTGATTGGTGGTATTTTTGCAATTTCAAACTGTGAGAACTTTATTATGCATAAGATTTTATGTTAGCGTGAAGCTTATGGTACACGACTGTAACTTACTAGGTCTTGATACGAGTACCTGTAGTGTTATGAGTCAATTATGTACAATTTATCAAAGTCTAATGAATTTATTATCATGTTTAATAGTTCGGGTCCAACTTACAGTAGGCCAGAACCCTGCTTGATTTATTTATTTTTAAGGCGTTTGAGTCTGTCTGTATTGGATGATGGAATTCTTTGTAACTTGGAAGATGCCTGTGGAATGATGATAAGATCAACCAGGAGTTGCTGTTTGTTGACAGGAAATAGTAATATTTGCAGGGTTCATCTTCTCTCTCTGTTTATTTAACAGCCCTTCTCGGGGGAAATGCAGAAGCCCCGGGAGGACATTTAAACTCTGATGGACATGGAGATGGGAACCAAATTTTCCCACTATGAGGTATGATCCTTTTTCTTTTAAGCAGGTTACAGATTTGGTGATGATTAATTCTGTTTTTGGTTTTGTTGGAGGTGGTGATAGAGAGGCATGTTTGGTGGGAATAGAGAGGAGAGAGAAATTAGTAAATTAAAAAATCAATTTTTTATAGTATAAAGAACAATTAAGGTAGCGTTTGAAATTGTTGTAGTTTCTAGTTTTCCGCTTAATTTTGGTTAAAAAAAAAAGTGAAAAATATGTTTGTTTTAAAAATGTTTAAATTTACTTTTTAACATTTTTCAAAATCATTTAAAAATCAGAGAATGTGGTTTAGGCGATTTTATTTTTTTTTTACTTGTAACCTGAGGAATATCCATCTAAAAAAGGACAGCTGAATTTTATTATTATTATTATTATTATTATTATTCATTGCACTGACTATCAATATTTAGTTGAATTTTTTTTTTTTTCCAATTCTCACTTTGGTTGGAACTCTTGATTGAGTTCATATTCATTTTTATCATAATCTAACAGCTATGAATTAGTCATTTAATAATAAACTAACCTCGTGCTAGGAGGCAGATTAGCCAAACATCTATTTGTGCTACGAGTCAGGTTGATTAGCCACTTGTGCAGGTAAGTGATTGTGTCACAAGAGTATTTGCTAGGAGTAATAAGCAAAAACTGTTGAACCCATTATGGTTGATGTTAGAATAGGTTGATTCAAAGAGTTTTGAGTAGAACAAAGCCTTGTTCGTGCCAAGCAGCGTCAACTCAGATCCAAGTGATGTAACAAATAATGGTCCTATGGAGGAGTGTGATGCGAAAAAAGAGGGGAACATTAAAGTCTCACGACCCAAGACCAGAATTCGGGGATGTTGAGACCAGCCTTACCGAAATGATCGACAGGGAGGATCAGTTCGAGGACAACGACACCCCATTAAGGAACTCGAAGATGGGCAGGAGAAGTTCCGTGGGAGGTGCAGCTGCCTTGGATGCAACTATGGAGAAGCTCGCTAGCGAAAGTGAGACTTTTAGGCATTTTCTCTCTACTGATATCTCTGCCCTATAAATGAGAATAAGACTTTGTAGGAGGAAAATAAGGTCCTAAAGGATGAGCTTAGGAGTGTATTTGCTAAATTGAAGGAGGCTATGGATGAAATAATCCTCCTTAAAAGGGTTGTTGGCCAAGGAAGTGGTGGGAGCACGGCCTCCTCTATTGTCATCTGTCAAAGCTGAAACTTCCTCGTCCAAAGGCATACCATGGGTAAAGGAATGCTAAGAAGACACAAAATTTCTAGTAAATAGCTTAGTTATGTATGTAAACTAGACTAAATATCTTTGGTAACTATTAATTCCACCAATTGCATTTTAAAACTTTTTCCTATTAGATTCATAACTAGCTTATATCATTTACAAACTATATTAATATTATAACAATATCACCAATAAATTTATTTTTTGCCAAATTGATATCTTTATGTAGGCTGCCTTCATGTCATTTCATCAATCTTGAATATTAGGAGAAGAAGGTTTCGCTATTGTCAAGTTGTCATACACTTGCCACTAGACTGCTTTGTACGCTAGTTCATCAATTTTAAAGTTTTATTACATAATTAAATTAATTTGATTTAATTCATTTAGACAATCTGATGAGTATATGATATCAATTACAAAGGACAATGTCAAACTCACGGAAAAAAAAATTATAAGAATCAACTAACAATTATACGAAGAATGAGGCTTATCTATACTCGATATATGAATTTTTCTATGTATCAAGTCAATTTAGGAAGGGTGTAGTGTAAATCTTTCTAAAAAAACAAAAAGAAAGAAAGCTTCGTGTTTTGTTTCAAAAGGAGATGAGACAAAATAGTGGATTAAGGAATGTAATAAACTTGTATTAAATGACGTAATTTTCTCAATTAATTTATTATTTTTTTCTTTAATTTAGAGAAATTCTAATTTTATCGGCGCGAGAGCAAATTAATGCATATATTTTCCTTTTCACATGCACCTATTCTTTCTAAAGAATGGATTCTCATATTTTCTTTCTTTCAAGTTAATCTTCTTTACAAACAAATGGTATAGAAGTGTTTGGCAAATATTAATTCCATAAATTGCATTTTAAAACTTTTTCCTATTAATTTGGTAGTTAGTTTATATCATTTAAAAACTATATTAATATTATAACGTCACTAATATTTTTTTTTCGAATTAATATTTTCTTCAATCATGTTATTTATAAATAAGTATTAAATATTATAAAAATTTCACAAATATATTTTTTATTTATATAACACATTAACATAAAAAATATAATATATTCATCTTTTTTTTTTTTCAAAATAAAAAAGAATAAACAAGAATTTATAAAAAATGATTATATCATGAATTTTTATTTTATAGTAACCATTACTAAAACTTTTATCAAATAATCAATCTTTGCCAACCACCATCACCAGCTAAGATAGATATAAGCCAAATGGGCCCCAAAGCAGACTAAAATTGTACAAGCCATGCAAGGATTCACTGCAATTAAGCAAAATTTATCCTTGTTCTCTAATCCTATGCTGAATTCCAATATAACAAAATAATGTTTATATAATCCATGAAAAATCCCAAGACAACAAGAGAAGGAAAAAAAAGTCCTCACAGCCATAGAAATCAACTTATATTTTGTTCATAAGACTGACTAAAAATCTTCAATAGTCTAAATACAGCCTAAGATTCTACAAGCCATACAAGCATTACCTACAAAGCAAAAACTCACCCTCCAAGTCTTTGATGCATGAATATGCATGATATTTTCCTGCGGCTAGGTCGACGATGAGCTAATCGGAACTGATACACTCGGTTGCTGTCCCATCCAAAAACCGCAAGGTCAACGGAGCAAAGCAAACATGTGGGCTACTGTTGGCAGTGCTGGATATGTGAGTGTGCCGAGCATGAACCAGTTGAAGCTTAAGAGAGCAACCGCATCAGAAGCAGGTTTGTTCTTTATGGTAGAGAAAAACTGAACCACACTTTTTAATGACATGCCAACAACAACGAAAAGAGCTATAACAAGAGGCATGCAAGGGTCCTGAGCCTCCCATATAATTAATCCAATCAGAAGGGATAACACTGCACTAAATATAGACTGTAAAAATGCAGCATCCCTTCTTTGGTCTAGACCCTTGTTCATCTCCAAGCGCCTCGAAATTGAAAATGAGTGGATGGGACCTTCTGTTGCACATCCAGTTTTCAACAAATGGAGCAACTCTGCATTATTCATAACCAGGTCATCAAATGTGATATCACTTCCTTTATAAAATGGCTGACTCCTATCGGAAGTGCAAGAGTCATCAGTATCAGCAGAGCCAACATTTTGTGCATTGTCTGCGCCACCTTGGCCTTTAAAGCTCCAATTATCTTTACCCAAAATTTCCTTAAGCTGAAGATTTTCTTGTTTCAGATCCTGCAACTATTGAAAGCATAAAACATTTTATTTGTAAAGCACAGAATTAAGAAAAACAAAGGGAATTTAAAAAGCATTGAGACAGACTGATTTCAAGATTCAATCACAACTGCATGTAAATATAATGAGAAATTGATCGAAATTAATAGAGAATGATTCAAAATCAAAGCTCGGTGAACACTTAATTTTAGCAATATCTGTTTATGGCTATAATGTATCTAACTTTTCAGCACCACCGACGCCAAGTTAAATTGAAATAAGGTCATATTAGAAGAATGCAACAAACTGAATGAATAAATCTATTTTCTCTTTATAGGAAAGGAAAAATAAATGAGATTATCTGATGCTGTGGACTCTCATGACAAGTTGCAACTATACCTCCATGTAATGGATCTCAAAGAAGGTGAACTCTACATATAGCTAGATCTTACCATTACTGTTCAAATTCTGCACAATACAAGTCCACTATATACTAGTTCCATGTAAATTTTTCCATCTATCTCCATTAGTACTTCCTATTAATGCCACCATATGGATTTTGCACCACTTCCTGACAGCCTTGCTCTACATCAACTTTGCTGAATTTCACCATCCTCATCTACTTGCTACTGATTACATTGCTAATGTTGCATCTTGTCTACATCCTTTCCACACTGGATTCCAACACTGAAAGGCACCATTCCTTATTGGTGGCCCTCTCACCACTTTTGGTATAAGTTTTCCACCTGGAGCTGCCACAACTCAGGTTATACCACTCAACACAGTGATTTGGGTTTTGTGTGCTGCCACTATGAAGGATAAGTAAAGGAAAAGAAAAATGGAAAAAGATGCTGTTATTATGTGACTGGTGCACGCGCGTGCGAGTAAGAGAAGGGGGGGGGCACCATTCCTTATTGGTGGCCCTCTCACCCACTTTTTGGTATAAGAGTTTGCCACCTGGAGCTGCCACAACTAGGTTATACACTTCAAACACAGTGATTTGTTTGTGTGCTGCCACTATGAAGATAATAAAGGAAAAGAAAAATGGAAAAAGATGCATGTTATTATGTGACTGGTGCACGCGCGTGCGAGTAGAGAAAGGGGGGGAGAGAGGAAGAGAAGAAGAGAACAAGAGGGAGACAGTAATGGGGGGGGGAGAGAGAGAGAGAGAGAGAGAACAAGAGGGAGACAGTAATAGCGAGCAGAAAAAGAAATGAACAGAAAAATGTTTGAACGCTTGATCAATAGTACCGAGTTTCCGTTTTGATTTTGCAATTGGAAATGTCAAAGAGTTCCATCACAATCACAACAAAAATCTTCAACACGACAGGTAGAACGACTCAAAAAACCAATGCATAGCCACCATTCGACGCCCCTCATTACCTTCCTCAGCTATCCTATGGGAAAAATCAATCTGCCAAAATTCAGATAGAAAGAGAGATCTTGAATATTATTATAATCAGCTCAATTAAATAGGAAAATCTGTGATCGCTGCAACTTGGAGAATAGGATAAAGCATGTTTATCACTGGCTTGAAAGGATGTACCTCACTTGAGCTCTAAGACAGTTGATGAAGGAATAATTTCTCAAATTCACCGAGTTACATTCTAAAGTTGTGCATTCTCACAGTGTGTAAAAGATGGTGAATGGATTCCATAAGTTAATGTTTCAGTATAATTTTGAGGAAGAAACAGTATGTATCTGAACAGATTCAACCCTGGCAAATAGATTGAAATGAAAGTAATTTTTTTCCATAGATCAAGCTACAGAAGGCCTGCATTAGTTCTACAATTATGGGAGAAAGTGCACATGAGTAGGCATTATCTCAAGAGCCAAAATATAACCAAGGTCCAGCCTACAGCATACATGCAAGAATTTGAAGACAAGCGTCTTGACAATCACATTGTTGAATCTTCATTGAAAATGAAATATTGGGGCATGAACATGTGATCTCCATTATGCTTCCTTCTATTTTACCTGCTCTTGCATCACCCAACTTCCTCCCCACCCCCTGCCCCCTCTCGCTTAACAACTAAAACAATTGCTGAACAACAAAAAGAAACAATTCTGCACACATATGGAGAAAATATTTGAAGTTCACTTTACAACTCCTGTAATTTCTTCCCAGCAATATGCCATATAAATCAGCAAACTTCGGCTATCTTGGGGCATTACTATGTGCGCATGTAGTTTATGCATATATGTAACCATAGACAGATTACTAGGAGTTCATATGTATTTGTATGTACAGAAAGAGTGAGGTCCTCAGAATACAAAGTTGTTCAATGTCCTTGAATTTTTTACGACTGTTTATATCTTTTGCTGTCCTTGTTTTTTCTATTAGGCATCTCAAACAAATTTAACATAATGCAGATCAAGCCATTTTCTAGCTAAACATTTAATTTAAATGCATGTCAATTGTACCACTTTCATCAGATTTTCTTTTGCATCCAAATAAATTGCCAAAATACATCTTCTAAATGACTAGAATTTTGAATAAAATTAAAACCAGAAGAGCAAATTTTGGTAGAAATCTCTAGTATAAATATCATAGCATTACCGAAAATTACTTCAGAATGCATGGAAATTTAGTTGTAAGTTCTTATCTGTTCAAAGCAATAACGGCTTGCAGGACTATGAGGCATTACCTCACCCTCTAGCAATTCAAGTTTAGCAATGACCCGGTCGTTTTCCTCCTCAACTTCAGCTAGCATTGATTCCAAAATTCTACATTCTTTAATTGCTGTCTGGAGTTTGCCTTGAAGCTCCTTCCTATCCCATACAAGATTATCCAGCACAATTTTCATCTCATGCAGATGCTCTTGCAACTGAAAATAAAAGCGGCAAAGCATCTGAAAAATCAGTATATAAATAGCAAAAGTACCCACACCTTACCTTAACATCAGATAATTTTAGGCTCCAATGCCTAAAACCTAATTATCATAAGACTACTTCAATTAAAAATAAAAGAGTAAGTACCAAATCATCTTTGTATTAACTATTCATATATCAAATTATTACGAGGGAAAAACAAAACCTCAAGAAACTCCCACCATCACTTGTGACTTTAATTGTGCAAGTGCAGTGACAACAAAGCAAAACAAGATGTGTCGTGTGCGTGCGTGCTTGCGTGTGTGCGTGAGAGAGAGAGAGAGAGAGAGAGAGAGAGAGGAGAATGAACCACTAAAACCAGCTTGTCAGGCAGCTTTTGTTGGTTGATACAGTAATTCTACAATATTGACCGCAGAAAAGAACAAGTTTGTAATGGCATTTCAGTACTATTATATATTTGTTCATTAGATATTTGTCTGTCCTTGAATATTTTACTTTATGAAAAGAATTGACAATGTTTCCATTATTATTGTAATTAGGAACTAGGAGAAATCCCATTAGATTATAACATTTTCCAAGCTTACTTACAGAAATAAGTTCTCTCAGAATTTTCCAAATTGGATAATATCTAATTACACTTCATTCCAGATGTCATCATAACAACATATTTGTTGCCACATCATCTCTCTCTTCTTCTCTGAGTCAAATTCTCCAAATGTGGACTGTGGTCTTCTTTTTTATGTTCATTCTCAGATGTTGCTCTTCGCAATTCCTTCCTCTCACTTACTTAACCCCCCCCCCCCCATTCTCAAGTGCTTGCTCTTTCGCGAAATTTCCTTCCTTCTCCACTTACCTTAACCCCCCCCCCCCCCCTCTCTTTCCCTCTTCTCTTTCCTTTCCCCCCCCCCCTCTCTTTCCCTTCTCTTTTCCTTTCCCCTTTTCTCTTTTCTTTTTTTTTCTGTCCCCATATAGTTTAATAAAAGATTTAGAAACTGCAGGCTAGGAACAACTAAGCTTTTTCCTAAAATACAATCAAAGAAAGCAGAATTTAGATTGCATTTATGCACAGACTTTCAACAATAAGCATTTTAATGAAAGTTAAACTTATCTAGAAAAGCTAACCAACTGTAGGGGGGAAAACTAACCCGCCTCTCCCTCTGCAAGGCAGTCAAAACTCGAATAGGAAGAGATATGAGAGCGATTATCCATATCACTGTCTTGTGAAACATACTCAGATGCAAAGTGATTGAGGCTGTCACCAACTCCACCCAAGTTTGAATCACAATAAACATGGTTCTCAAACCAAACAAAACTACCAATTTACAAAGTGAAAAAGGCTTTGTCACCAACATCAGAATGAGATACAGAGCCATCAGATCTACCACCATTACTGATTAGCTTGCTTTGTTGCTCATCCACATGTCCGCAACTGCACAAAAGTTGAAAGCAAAATATATAGCCAGGTAGTATCTTGGATAGACCATATGATACTTTGAAGAATGATCATTTAAGATAAGGTAGAAGAAATAGCAGTTATGCACAGTGTGAGAGAGAGAAAAAAGCAGATACTTCAGCACAGCACAACCACATGAAGGAATAATATAAACAGCTCCTATTTGATGAATATTTTGAGTCATGGGATGGAAGGCTGATAGGTAAAGGTTTTCCTCATCGGATCATTCATTTAGAGAAGAACTGGAGTTCTTTAATTTAGACATGTCCATGAATAATGCATTCAAGAATTTGCTTCATGTGTTGGCAAATTTACCTGAAATGGCAATTAGTCTGAACAAAAAGGAAAAGGATTTAGAATTCTATCAAAGTAAATAAAGGGTTGATTTATGCCAGCCAATTTTCTTAAATCTTTTTGCGCCAAATTTAAGCTCTACATGAAACACACTAAACCCAGAAACTTGCACAAAAGATTGTGGAATGATCATAAGCAATTGGAGTATCACAGAAAGAATTTGCTTCTATTGCCTTCAAGGGTAATGAAATAAAATTTCTGTTGGATAGCGTGTACAAATGTAAATTTGAAAAGTTCAAATTATAATACTATCTAAAGCCAGTGAAAATAAAAGCTAAAAACCAATTCTTTAACCAACCAAAGCCACAAGAAAAACCTTCCATTTCAATTCAGCAAAAAATCTTTCAGAAGATTCTCCCAGTTACAGCTCAAGAATGGAAGAACCATAGAACATGCGAAATCACATACATATAAACGCGACAGTGAGAGAGAGAGTAAATAAGAAGAGCGACTCACAGGCAAAGGCAGTGCAGAATCCGCAGAGGTTCAAACATTTTTGAGGCTTGAGAAAGAAAGAGGAGGAGGACGAGATGGCAACTGGCAACAAGTCTGTCGCCGTGGCTGACACCTGGAGTCAAGAATCCAGCACACGTTACATAAATACTATCCGATATTGATATACATCAATCAACCAAAATAGTTTGCAACAAACTTTTTTATTTTTTATGTTTTTCTTTTTAGAAGTCACAATTATTCTTATTTTTAATTTCATTTTTGTGATTTAATTCAATTTTTATTTACTTATTATATTTTAAATTTTAATTTATTTAATTTTATTATCATTTTTTATTAAAAAAGAAATAAAATAAAAAAAACCATGCAAGATTCTAATCCAGAAGCCTATGTATGTATGTATGTATGTATGTGAATTTCAAAGTCCACATCTATATATAACTACCCAAAAACTCATAAGCCCATATCTTATATAGAAAAATGAAAATAGAGAATTTTAGTATATATCAGATTTTTAAATTTTAGTTAAAAAAATATCACTAAAATAATGTGAATTTTATTAGCGATCTACCTAATTATTTTTTTTACTTAATGTTATTATTATTATTATTTTTTTTTTTTTTGTAGAAAGGCGTGAGGGGTGGGAAATCCGACGGCAACACCATTACAGCCGGTGAGTGGCTTGACTTTTTTTTTTTTTTTGTTTCTTCTTCTTATTGTTTTAAGGATAGGTGTGAACTGTGCCTTGGGCAGCAAAACCGACATGAGAGTCCTTATCGCAGACAATCGCTTTATCGGATTTAATTTCGTTTCCGTTTCTATGGCTTCGTTTTTGTTCTTCTTTTTATTATTATTATCTCAATTTGATTCCGTTTTTGTTTATGTAGTCTTATTGTTTCTTCTTCTTTATGTCTTATTATTGTTATTATTATTATTATTTTTTTATCTCTATTTTGTTTCTGCTCTTCTTCTTTTATGTTCTTTTACAGTCGGATTTGTTCATTATTATATAAATTTTGTCTGCAGTAAAAGGTATTGTGTTTAATTGATTTTCTAGGGTTTTCTTTTCATTTTTGAATATATATATATATATATATATATCTTACACTGAACTAAAGACTTTAATGAAAACAATGACCTATGCTTTTTAGACTAAAGACTTTAGACTATTGACTTATGACTTTAATTTTTATCGTATCTTTGAAAACAAAGACTTTTAATTTTTTATCGTAATCTATTAGAAAACCAAACCAAAGATAAAGACTTTAAGACTTGATTTTAAACAAAGAACTAAGACTAGATGAATAATGACTTTAAAGTATGACTTAAGACTGAAGAATCTAACAAGTCATATATAATGTAGAGAGCTTAAGATTATACTAGGATTTAAATAAAATACATCGATAAAATATTTAAAGATCAAATCTTATAAATCGTGAACTAAATGATAACTATGAATTAATTGGGGTTTATATGAATACTTATAATGTCATTAAAGTATGTTTTACTTCACGAATTAAATAACAGTTTTTAACACAATAATTTTCTGATGTGGAAGATCAGACTAAACTGATCCACCAGAGCATACTGTGATGACAATTTAATCAACAATTTAGCAACAAAGATAGTTTAGGGTTCCTACAACCTTAACCTGGGATCAAATTTAAGTCAGATTTGTGGAGGGAGACAGAGAAAGGTGCCGTAAACACGGACTTATATTCGTAGCAAGTTTAAAGATACCATGACAAACTTTATTTATTATACAAAATATAAATTACAAGATTAAAACTTACAAGATTTTAGATTTAGACTTTCTCCAACTTGAACCGCTTCAGCTTGAAGTTAGGTAGCGAAGAAAGGAGAGAGGATTATGGTTTAATTTAACTAAAATTAAACTTATGCCTTCACAAGGGGAGAGGCTTCCCCTTTAATATAGAAAAAACAAAAAGTCTCTTTCTGTTACTTTTTACTTGTTTGATGTCACATTACTCTCGTTTGCACCACGGAAATTTTATGTAAAGAAATAGTGCTTGGTCGGCATTTGGCAGCTTGCCTATTCTGTAAGGTCACGTGAAGGAATACGGTTCCCTTCTGCCTTTTAATCAGATGAGGACGAAGTGTCCTTCTTTTTCTTTTCTTTTCTTTTTACTATTTGCTTTTTTGTTTTAACTTTGCTTTTCCTTTTCTTTTGTTGTCACCTTTCACTTTTTTTTCTTTTTTGTCAGTTTTACTTTTTACTATTATTGATTGAAGAATATCATCATTGCTATCTTTACTTGAAACAAGGGAAGATGATGATATTGACGAAGATGAGGACGCCATGTCTGCCCATTTGGCTTTGCCTTTAAGACTGGGTTTGGATGACGATTTATCTGAAGAGACTGCTGGCGGTTTGCTTGATGAGGGTTTTATTGGAGAATCTGAACCTGTGGAAAGCTGCTGGAACATTTCCTGGCAAATTCTTTTATACTCTTCAGGGATCTGTTTATATTCCTCAGGAGTTTTAGCTGCTGCTAACCTGGCTTGACACTGTGCTTTTTGAATTCCAAATGTAGGTTGTTCCATTAAAGCAAGTGTACTGGCGTAGGTTAATGCAGGGGTTTGGGAAAGTTTATTCCAAATCCATTGATTAATTTTAATTTCAGTAGTAGAATTCTTGAAAGAACCCCACCATTTAATTTTGTGTTTCTTTACTAACATAGGAATTTGGGTTCCTATGGCATACTGAGTGTCCAAATACCATTGATATACTCAGGGCGTAAAGAAGGCCATGCAATAGTACATTAAGGATGGAATATGGGCCTCTTCAGGTCTTGGTTTATAATGGGCTTTAAAGTACTGATATAAAGAGATTAATGGGCTTTAAAATACTGATATAGGGCCTGAATTGGAGGAGGGATAATTTCATTGGAAATACCCCTGGTTTGCCACCATTTTTTAAACCAGTTTGGCACCTTACAATCAGTACGAAAAGAAGTATCAAAATAGATTAACCATGAATGCGTAGTAGTGGGATTTTGAATAGAAAAAACTTTATCCCATGCATCGCGATAGTCAAAATAATTGTAAGCAGTACTGTGTACATGCTTATATAAAACTTTTAAATTTTACAGGTGTGTAAAGAGAGGGTGCAGGCCATTCTTTGGGATGGAGAACCCTTTTGATTTTAAGAGAAGAATATAAAATAATAGATTTATGTTTGGAATCATAATTGTGTTTAATTGTTACGGATCCGGTATCCAGTAAAATATTATGGTAATATTCCTGAGGTTTAGAAAGATCGGTTGGAAGAAAAAACCAATCCTCAGGATAATATTGTTTTAAAATGGACCAAGGATTAAGATTATTATAGCCATCCTCAATCTCAATTTCATAATCAAAAATATTTTTAACAAACCATTTATGTATACCTTGAGTATACTGGATTTTTGGCAAATCCACTCGGCGGATGGGCTATATGGATTGACTAATTATATAGCGACTATTTGACATTATTTAGTCTTTACTGTCTACCGTTTGAGACAGACTAGCCGTACCATGAACGGGTACGATCGTTTTAAGTTTAGAAGACATACCTGCATCCTCTGTGGAAGAAAATGCTATACCTTGCAACGCCTTTAAAACTTCAGGAGATTGACTAAGTTGTTCAATCCATTTTTGAAGATCTTTAGAGGTTTTAGTGTTTAAGGCTAGGGTTTTAGTGAGGTCTTCAGAATGCTCAGAAAGAGCTTTAGTGGGTGAGTCGAATTCTTCTTTAATGGCTTTTCCCTTATCCTTTTTCTTGCCCATTGTTCTGTAAGAATTCACGAGTAAGAAAGTCTGGAATATTGTTTTTATTATCAGGAATGAATTCAATATCAAAATAAAAAATACTTAATAATGCTTGCCATCGTGCAAAAATTTGTTTAGAGGCAAGATTTTGAACATCTTTTTGTAAAACCTTGTCCTTTTTCCTTCCCATTGTGCTGTAAGAATTCGCGAGTAAGAAAATCTGGAATATTATTTTTATGACCAGGAATAAATTCAATATCAAAATCAAAAACACTTAATAATTTTTAATAGGGTAGACACTAATTAACTTGAGCGGGATGTTGCCTCAATGTTCCTGCAAGTATTGGATTATACGCTGCTTTATTATCAAGTTTTTTTTTTTAAAATACCACCATAGCCTATATCAGAAGGCATCATTTCAACTATTTTAAATGCTGTAGCGATTAGGAATAATATGGTATTTCTTTTACTAAAGATTTTATCTTTTGAACTAATTGAGTATGCTTTTCCGTCCAAGGACTAGCATTTTTTCGTAATCGATCATGCAATAATCTTAACATACAATTTAAATTAGGGTAAAAATCAATGACATAATTTAAACAACCAAAAAACCTTTGTAATTGGAGTTTATTAGTAATTTCATCTGGAAATTTTTCTCCAAATACTAGGGTTCTTTCTATGGGTTGAATTTTACCTTGCTCAATATAATGACCCAAAAATCTGATTTTAGTTTTAAACAAGTCCATTTTAGTTTTACTTAAGGCCACATTTTAGTTTACTTAACGGCAAAAACGATTTTGCCGGAATTACCGATACAGCATGCATGCTTTTTAAGTGTGTGAATGTTCATGTAAGAGTTGTACTAAAATAATTACATCATC